CAGAAGATGCAGCTGAATACACATCGACCGGCTGATTAAATCCCTACAAATCAAACATCAATATTACCTATAGACCGTAAAATAACTCAAATTTACACAGACAGCCAAGTTTCCTAAATTTTAAAACCTAAAACGGAAAGGGGATAAATGTGTCAGGTGTTTGTGCTATAAATTTGATCCAAATTGACATAATACTCACAGGATTGGAAGCACCTAGCCGAAGCAAGAGACAGGAAAATAGAAGCAGCAGCAGCGGAGGCTCAATAAAGATCGCCATTTTCATTTCCATGAGCTTCCTACAGTGTCAAGAACCCTAACTGAAATGCATAGCCAATTCGACTTCTATGTAAATATTACTGATGATAGGTTAGCTGGTGGATTCGTAATGGAAATGGAGATAAAAGAGTAGGGTTTTCATTTACTGTTCTTCAGTCTTGTTGGTATTGAATTAAATAAGGTAGTTCGGATGTCGTCGGTGTTGAATTAAGAAAAATAACTGATGATGACGACGACTACAGACTTTTTTCCATCTTTAGCTTTTTCTCGAGAATAATGCTTTGTGTACAATTCATGATTGACAAGTAATTTGACAATTCATATTAATTCAAATTCGAACGGACGGGAAAGTATGTGGTGTTTAAAAACTGGTCACTCAACCTTCAACATGTGATACATTGTCAAATTTGATGTCAAAAATTTGTACTTGTAGCATGATTGTTTTCTCAATTTTCTGGAAATCCATACGAACCTCACTCAGTCTAATGATATTTAAAATTAAATGTTTGGTAGAGTGAAAAAAACGGATGAAATATATAGAGTTAAAAAGTTAAAAAATCGTCCAAAATTTAAATTATTTCTACCAATCAGAGGTTAAAAATGGTGAAATTTCAAAAGAGCTTGTTATATGTATTTTAAGTGTGAAATCCATCTGTAAAATCCTTCTGCTAATTAATTAATTAATTGATTAATTTTTTTATATATTCACAACTATTTGAAAAGACGTGAATTTTAGTAAAATTCATTAAAATTTCAATTGACAACGCTTTAATTTAAAATCATTTTTAAAATTTATCAAAATTTCAGCTGAGAGCACCATGTTCGTCCTTAAATTTCTCCTACTTTTTGCAATCAAGTACAAGTAGTTCACTTGTCATTACAACTCGGCATAAAGAATCATATTATTCTCGTTTGGATAAAATTATAAATTGTAGAAATTATAATACAATTTAAATTAATCCCTGTTTGGCGGCCTTTTAAAAAAAAGAATAATGCTAAGTGTACACAATCTTTTACACCACTCTCACATGGAAGGGGGCCCACACATAATAAAATAATCGTGGACCCCCCTCCATGTGAGAGAAGTGTAAAAGATTGTGTAAAAATGTGTGTGTACATGTAGCATTACCCTAAAAAAAATTGTTTTGAATTGTGAACCAACCTCTCAAGTTTACAAGTAACGAAGTTTTTGAGTATTAACTAATTTAAATATATAAATTAAATAGTGTGAATGTTAACTTGAATTAAAATTGGATGGCATAATTGTCAAACAATTTAACATTTTATTCTAAGTCACATGAAATTTTAACATCCATGTCAATAATTTTCATTTGGCAAAAATTCAAAATCACAAATTTAAATATATGAGACTCAAAACTACACTACCTAAAAGAATAGAGAATCCAATTCTAATTCCCCCCCCCCCCCCCCCNCAATTCTAATTCCCCCCCCCCCCACCCCAACCCCAACAATAAAAAAAAAACAATTAAAAAAAATTAGTTTTATTTCTATTTTGTATCCATTTACCTTGTTAATCTGCACCAGCAGTAACCAGTAACTTGACATGTCTTGGAAGCCACGACAACGTTTTAATTGAAGAAAAATTAGTCCATGTTTAACAATCATTATTTTAAAACTTTTAAATTTTTATACTCATTTTCAGCCATGGATTTATATAATAAAATATTTTGCATGTGAATCTAAAATTTTTCTCTATTTTTTAACCACACATTCTCAAAAAAATTACTATTCGAAATTAAATTTTCTCAAAATAATTGTCATCAAACAAGAATTTAGTTTCAACTGTAAATTATGAATAAGAATATATACACTTTAGTTAAAATGACAACCAATTAAGAGCTTGTTCGATTCTCATTTATTGGGAAAAAAAAATGAGTTTTGAATAGTATTTTTAAGAGAATGTGTTGCTAAAAAGTAGAGAATTTTTTTTTTGATATACAATCACATTATTTTGGAAGAATGTATTTTGGAATAATAGATTGAATGAGAATGTGTGGTTGAAAAAGAAAGAAAATTTATTGATGTGATGAAAAATATTATTTTATTGAAAAACGTGTGATCGAAAATGAGTAGAAAAATGAAAATGAAAATTTAATATAGCTCAAACAGAAGTTTATAGAATATTTTATTATATGAATGTATATGTGAAAACAATCTTTTAACAAACTATAAAATAAATTAATGAGTGACAAACCTGCCCTAACTATCCATATTTATCAAATTGGTGATTATATTACCCGTGTTCTATTCACAAAATATAAGTGTCAATTAGACTTCCAATTGTGCTAGTAAACATGGATCAACTTGACAATCAATGACATTTTTTTTTTCAATCATGCTGCAAGTATATTGTCTTTGATATCAAGTTTGACATTGTGCCACATGTTGCAGCACGATTGACCAGTTTGAAAATACAACACACTTTCCCGTCACTTCAGTTTTGAATTTGCAAAAGAGTGTCAAATTCCATGTACACAAGGAGTGTTGGGTCATAATTCTTTTTTTTTACTTGTTGTGCTCATCAATGTGAGTTTCAATGCAATTAATTAAATTATGTCCCTACGTGTTCAATATAGTCGGCCACTACTCAACGATAAAAGATGTGCAAGTCCAATTTGAAAATGTGTCCATAAACAGTAGTCTAATGTTAAGACTTAAGACCTATGGCAAAATTTCAAGATGGAACCATACAAAGGTGGAATCCTTGCTTACGGTTTTCTTAAAAGAGAGCGTCTTCGTGTTGAAAATTTGTCCAACCACCACGGACCAGTTCCCTTTTAACACATTTCGCTTCAAGTTTTCATTATATTTAACACAATACAAACAACGCTATCAAAAAGTACTAAAGTTCTTATAGCTCCCTTGTTCTTTTGTACTCGATAACCAATCTCCATCTAGTCCTCCTTCATCAAAAGAAAAAGGAAAGGCACATATTCAGGAGGAAGAAAAAGAAGATGCCGGGTCTACATATAAACTGTCCGTCATCAAGGCTGAAGGCAATGGAAAGAGTGTCGGAATCCAATCTTCCAAAAAGCGAATATTTTCCTACATGGTTAAAGGATCCAATTTTTATTGTTGAATGTAAGTTCCTTGAATACTCTTTCTTGAGCAAGGATTTTTCCCTAGACTCAATTTGGGACTTTTAGCACCATATCCTCAGACAGCAGGGGAGGGGGAGGGGTCTTGGCTGTCAGGTTCGACCATTTGACTTGGTTTCCTTGTCGAATCACATCAGCATCATGTATTGACTTTTTTAGGGAGAAGCAAGACAAGCGGATACGCATAAAGGCATGAATAGTTCCACAAATATTCTATTAACCTTGTCGCAAGTTGCTAAGCCCATGTTTGACAATCATTATTTGGACAAAATAGAGTTTTGAATGGTGATTTTTAGGATAATGTGTGATTAAAACGTATAAAAAAAAGTTTTTAATTTACATGAAGAATATTTTATTGTGTGATAAAAAATAAGTATATAGAAAAAAAGATTGAAAATAATTATTGTCAAAAAGGGGCTAAACATAACATTTCTGGATCGTTCCTACTATTGAGATATTTGACTTACCTATTGAGAAATTAAGTAGAAACTTTCACTTATATCAATATAATTGTCAAGATTTATTTTGTGAAAATTAAGTATCTATTTGATGGCCATTCTTTTTGGAAAATAGAGTTTTGAATAGTGATTTTTTTGGAAAATGTGTGTTTTAAAAGTAAGGAAAAGTTTTGAGTTTTACGTGCAAAATATTTTATTATGTAATTGTATGATTGAAAATGAGTATGATAATTAAAGAGTTTTGACAAATCTTTATACCCACGATCAAACAAACCAAATTCAATTTTTAAAACACATATTGAGAATGCATAAAACATTTTAAATTTTGTAGGAAATTACTTTTAACTGCAAAATAAAAAATGGAAATTTTTTCATGCCATGAAATATGGAAATCTATTTTACTATACACATCAATTTAAATTTATTTAAAATCACCAAACATAAATATATATATATATAAAGAGTAATGCTATTCGTAGTGAAAATTATCGATAGCCTTCCTATGTTGCATATAAGTGGT